TGAGAGTAACTGTGGTGGTTTAACTGAGAATGGCTCCATAGGCCCTACGTCTGCATGCTGAGTCCCCAGATGGTGAACTGTGTGAGATGGATTAGTAGGCGTGGCCTTGGAGGTGTATCCCTAGGGCTTTAAGATTTCAAAAGCCCACACCAAACCCATGGTCACTCTTCTCTCTCTCTCTCTCTCTCTCTCTCTCTCTCTCTCTCTCTCTCTCTCTCTCTCTTCCTTCCTTTCTCCCTCCCTCTCTCCCTCCTTCCCTCCCTCTTTCTCTCTTCCCCCTCTCCTTCTTCCTTTTCCTCTCCCTCTCCCTTTCCTCCTCTCCTTCCCCTCCCCCTCTCCTGCCTGCAGGTCTGGAAGTAGAGCCCTCAGTCACTTGCCTTCCTGCCACTATGTTCCTTGACATGATGATCCTGGACTAACTCTCTGAAATGTAAGCAAGTCCCCAAATAAATGCTTTTTTAAAAGTGTTTCCTTGGTCAAGGTCTCTCTTCATAGCAATAAAACAGCCACCAAGACAATAATCGACAACTTTCCAATTGGACTTAAGTCCTGTTCTACAAGATGAAACCCATCCATGGCACCATTATTAGGCTGTGGTTAGACAAGTCATAGGCCCTAGGAGAGAACCCATTAATTTTATTCTATTACATAGACAGTATTAAACTCCCATATGGACTTACTGTTATATCCATAAATAAATCCATCTCTCAACCTTCATCTGCAAAGCTTCTTTTTATAGGAAATGGTGATTAACACAGACCCACAACTGGCCAAGGTACAGAGAATACAAGACTGCATAATGTTCAGCTCCAGAGGGAATACACACATGTACACACACACACACACACACACACACACACACACACACAGCAGAAAGAGTGTGAGAACTGGAGGTAGTAGATGACCATAAGGAAGCATTGCCTTTTGGACACATGGGGGCACCTACACATATGAGCCCACAGCAACTGCAACAGCATATACAAAACTTGTGCAAGCCCAAGCCAGACCAAATCCCTGCATGGAGAGGGGAATGGGTACACAATCTCACCACTCACTGTAGAACTACTGACAGTTGTCACTTGCTAGGAGGGAGTAGCCCTCTAAGAGAATAGCCCCGAGTAAGTCAACTATGCTCCAGTGGAAAACAATATATCCAAGAATATTTGGGCAATACAAATTGGTCTTAAAGCTGGGGGGGGGGATACAAAGCTAGGGGAGGGGTTTCGGAAGAGTTGGGGGAGAGAGGTTGAAAAGAAGGAAGAGGAAGAGAAAGAAGAAACCTAGAAAGCATCTAGACCAAGGATCCAGTTCACAGGTAGAGAACTAAACCTAGAGATAAGTGTAACTAATGCAGTGGTTCTCAACCTTCCTAGTGCGGCCACAGTTCCTCATGTTGTGGTGACCCAGCCATAAAATTAGTTTCATTGCTACTTCATAACGGTAATTCTGCTACTGTTATGAATCGTAATATAAATATCTGTGTTTTCTGATGGTCTTTGGTAACCCCTGTGAAAGGTCATTCAGCATCTAAATGAGTTGCAACCCACAGGTTGAGAACATTGCTCTAAATAGTAGCTACTTTGGGACCAATGCTTGAGCCCCAAATTGTTCTAATTAATCAAGTCTAAAAATATATGCCAAGTGTGATAACATTTCAACAATTACACTTTGCCATTAATTTGTCTATTTGACAAATAGACATGTTAACATACATGTCTATATATGTTAACAAAAACATATTATACATGTGTGTGTTAACAAAAACATACATATACATTACATACATACATACACTCACTTTATGAAGTAGACAGACAGATTTTGATGGGAGGGGCAAATAGAAAAAGGCTCTTTGGGGCTGAAAGATTGCTAAGTAAAAGTACTTGCTCCAAAGCCTGGCCTGAGTGCAGACGCCCATGGAGGTCAGAAGCAGGCACGGGATTCCATGGAGCTTGTGTTACAAGTTGTTGTGATGTAAAAGCTGGGAGCCAAACACGAGCACCACATGCTCCTAACCTCTGAGCCACCTCTGCAGCCCTTATAGACTAACTTTCTTAATAGACTGAGTGCCTTAATTATTTCTATCTATCCTAAAGATACAAGTATCTTCAGTGAAAATGGACACACAGATCACGTGAGGCAGAGAACGATGTGCACACTGATGGTACACACCAAGACTGACGGAAGCACTGCCTCCACCTGCATTATCCACTATAGCCTTGAAATGAGAGCAGCACTGTGGGACAGCATATCAAATATACCATCAACGTCTGTAAACTGCTTGTTCATGTTGTCTGGAATTCCAGATGCCATGGACATCTGCATGATTCTAACCCAGAAGACTACGTAATAACCACAAAGGTTAAACCTTGTTAAAAACAGTCAACACAAAAGAGCTATCCTACTCGGCAAAGCGTCTCCTACACACGCTCTTTTCCTGACTAATCCTGCTTTGCTCTCATTAAACTTACCCACATAAGTTGAACTGTATTCCTGGCATTCTTCACTATCTTTTCATTATGACTGAATTCTCAAGAATGTATTTGCTTGCTTTGTACAAATGGTTGTTATCTTGCATCTTGTTTATATTCTATACTCCTTAAACACAGGACTTTGTATTTCTCTTCAAATCATAACTAGTACTCATTGGATTCTCAGAATATTGCCACCTGATGATTCCTGAGAGAACTCATGCGCTGATTATGATTCTAGAAACATCTGCAGAAAAATAGATCTGTGGAGAGTAAACAAAGGATTTTTATTACAAATTTTGACAACGCAATGCCCATTTAGTTAAATTTTAGTATGTTTTACTTGTCAAAAATGTTATTTGTGTGCAACATTCTGTATTGATTACTTGAAAGGTAGAATTGCTGCTATTACTTTGAAAAGTACTTTGTGTTTCAAGTCCTACAAATACTATCTAAGGAAGGCATTTTTCTCATTTTATTGGTAAGTTTAAATTTAAAAAATTTAAGCTATTTAAGATCACTTAACAAGTAAATTGCAAAGTTGGGTCATGGCACCAAATACAGACATATATATATATGGAGAGAGAGAGTATACAGTGTCTGTATATGTGTGTATGTATATATATACATACACACATACACAATTAAAAGTAAATATTTAAAAAGAAATATATTATCCAGAGTTTGTGCCCCTCTAGGTTAAGTTTTCTCTTTTTCGCATAATATTTTTATTGACTATTTGGGAATTTTACATCATGAAGCCTGAGAAACACCCATTCCAATCCTCCCAGGTCCATACTCCTCAACCATTGTGACCTCCCTAACCCCCTCCAAAAAAAACAAAAAAAGAAAAAAAGCAATACAAAACCAAAATCACATCCAATTTGTGTTGCCCATATATTCACTAGAGCATGATCAAACTCACAGGTGGATAGAGTCTTAAAGAAAACAGTTCTTCCGTACCTGCATACCGCCTCCCATCCCACCCCCACATCCACTCCCCACCTCCCACCTCTGCCAGATGCCATCAACTGTAGAGAGCTACATTTCACAATTTTTAAGTGTTCTCTTCAGTGGCTTTCTGTTACTTTTTTTTAAGGTGGTGAAGGTAGGGGTTGTCACAGCAGCCTTCCCATCCCATTAAAAGGATATCCTCTTCCCCAGCTGTGAGTCTGCAGTCATCAATACCATGACAAAAACAGTTTCCTTGCCCTTTATAGTCAGTGGGAGTGCAGATCATGGACTTACACATGGTTTCTGGAAATAGCTCAAACCAGAGGCATCCACATGGTCTCTGGAGTCAGACATGCCATGGTCCTCAGCGTGGTCTCTGGTAGCAGTACAGACCACTGACATCAACATGGCCCACTGGTATAGTAGGACCATGGACATAGACAGACCCAGAAATCAGCATGGCCTCAGGTGGAAGCCCAGACAGAGGACATCTATTTGGTCTTTGGTGGTACCTTGGGCCAGGGACATCAACACACTTCCGGGCTGCTGTAAGACCAGACATGCACACGAACCTCAGGCTTCCCTGGGGCTGGGGACCATGGATACCAAAGCACCCCAAGGGGCAACGCAGACCATAGAGGTCTTTTGAGGAGGTCGAGTCCAGAAATGATCTGTTCTTCAGCTTAGTCTTCCTGTCGTTGCTCAGAACCAAGGTGATCATGCAGCTGGACACTCGTTCCGGGACTGAGGGGAAGTGCAAGCTCCAGGCTGCTGCACACTACCCTGTCAGCCCTAATTAGCAAGGCGATGACATGCTCCCCAGCTACCATAGGCTTCTCTCACGCCCATCACCACAGCTGCATCTCTAGTTCCATCTCTCTCTACTGCTCACCAGCAGCTTGGCTCCCCTACCTCTCCCACCTCTTCATGAACTAATCATTCATAGCATTCATCGTGGTGGTGTTAGAAGCTGCAGTATGTTACATAATTATATATAACATTATATGTAATATTATATAATAGAAATATTATATTTATAATTTATGTATTTATATATAAAACATAACATATAAATCTATAATATATAAATAAAATTTTATATTTTTATATTTTTTCTTTTTTTTTTTTGCCCAGGCAGCTTTGCATATAAGTATTCATTTAACGAGTCTGGTTCAAGGTTTCTGAAGCACTATAAACTAGAAATACTAAACCACTGCCGAGACTCATTTCAGATCTCACACTGTTGACAGAGTCATGGTGATCCTGTAGCTCTTGTTCTGCAGGACCAGCTCCTTCCCATGCTTCAGCCGCTTGTAGATAGGGTAGATCTTGGGGTAGGTAGATGTAGATAGGGTAGATACTGGGGTAGGTAGATGGAGATAGGGTAGATATTGGGGTAGGTAGATGGAGATAGGGTAGATATTGCAGTAAGTAGACCAATTCAAAGCCCTGGATCTGGGCCAGATGGTATCTGAGTTGTTCAGCCTGCAGCAGGCTTTGGGGCCTGGCCCAACAAAATTGCATAAATATTTTTACCATGTATATTATACTAAGAAAAAAAATAAATGCTGAAAATGAGGTAGATAACAAAAATGGGTTTATTTTACCTTTACATAATTCCACATTAAAACATTTTGCTCAGATGAAATTATTTTTAAATTTTTAATGTATTTTTTAATTGTAAGAATGTTTTGTCTGCATGTACACCTACATGCCAGAGGAGGGCATCAGATCTCTTTACAGATGGTTCTGAGCCATCTGGAAGCGTAGCCAGTGTTCTTAACCTGAGCCATCTCACCAGTCCAAGATGAATTAAGTTTTAATCTCTGGATAAAAGATCCTCTAAATGGCCTTGAGAGGACTGGACCGCACTTCAGGAGTAGCCTGTATGCTTCACATGTGTGAGGCCCTGGCTTCAAGCCTTCTCTACTTTCTCACCAAAATTCCATTCAGGATACACTGCAGGCTTGATTTTTAAATACATTTAAATACAGACCTTACATTACTTTAATGCTCAGGTACTCCACAACACAACGTGGAAACACAAGTATGTGACGATTGCTGTGTTCTCTAAAAGGACAAAGAGCTTTTCAAGGATGAAGAGAAATGAGCCTGTCTACAATGTTAAACCTAAGATCTATTTTCCTTTATAGACTACAATGTTGTTTTCAGTTTCATACACTTTTACTTTATAAAGAGCTCCCACTGGAAGAAGTTTCTGAAGGTTTTCCCAGATATAGACAGCTACATTTTCTGTCGTGCTGAAGAAAAAGAATGAAAGAAGTTCAATATACAATTACTGAACAACATTTCAGGTCTAATACATAGATAAAACAGCAATTCCAGTAACAAAATCTACCATTACACCAATCTTTTAGAAATTATCACATGACAATCACAGTCCTAATTTGTTTCATTTCTACTCCCCAAAGTCAGACAGCAACACCCACCTTACAACATCTGCGAAGTATGGCACGTCCAGATCCAGGTTCTTGTGATCAAGGGGCTTCATGATGGCCTCCTGCAGATGGAGGGAAAGGAATACCGCTGATCTCAGCTAGGACTCAAACTCCAAAGGGTTCCTTCCCCAAAGTTCCTGACTCTCAGTCTCTCATTAAGCCAAGACTCCACCCTGGGAAGCTCTCCTCCCAGGTTCTACGAAGCAGTCTCTCAAGGTTGTGAAACAAGGTCAGACCTGGTTCCCTGTAATGACTGTGTATCCTTGCCCCTGAGTGCAGAAGGAAGAAACCACAAAAACAGAGAGTTCCGGAGCCTTCTAGAAACACAGCCATCATGAGTCACAGTTCAGTCTGGCACGTCTTGAATTCTGTCTACAATGTTACTACAAACCCCCTTCCACAGCACAGTGTCACCTTGAGACCTGGTCTGAAATGATGGTCATCTTCTACATTTCTGCCCTGAAGAATAATTTATTGATCTTCTTAGAAGAAAAAGATAAACATGAAGATTATCACTTCCTAATGTTTATATATGCTGACATAATGTTACTTCTTGTCATTAGCAAAAATTGTAATTATCTTATTCTAAATTTTTACCATCAGCTCTTGTACAAAAATTTAACCATCTGTAAAACAAACTAATTTTCTACCTGATCTGATTTCAAGAATATACACTAATAACTGATTTTCTTCAGTAAAACTGGAATCATATAAAAAGAGAGTGGGTCCTAAATCAACTCCTAAAGAAGCTAATTTTAAAAAATAAATCAAATAAAGAGATATGAATACCAAGAAACTAAATATCTTTGCTCTATCTTGGATCCTTGTTCTGGCCCCAACTTCCCCATCAAACTTCCTACAGGACTCTGTCTCACGTCACTCTATGGCCAGAAGAAGCCACCTTTACTGGTGGGAGTGAATAGTTTAGGCTCCAAAAGGAGGAAGAAAATCCCCAAAGCTCCCCTAAGTATTCAATCCTTTGAAGGCTGAGGCTTCTCGCCACTGTCTCATAGTGGGCAGTATTGCATGTATATATTCTGTGAATGCAAAGCCTCTGTCTTTAGAAGTTCTCTAAATTACTAAGCACCGCACTATTGATTAATTGATTAATTCCTTTATTTGTTTATTCAATAATTTTGATCACTTACTATTCTCTACCTCCTAAAAAAGGTAATGAATATATTCTATGAGCTATGTGTTATTCATTCATCTTTGTATTTCCAATAATTAGCTTTTTTTAAATGATGCAAAGAAACAAATTTGTTGAATATAGGAATATGAGAAAGTAATTATTAGTAACATTCTTTAAAAAACATCTGTCAACCTTGAGAACAGAAGTAAGCTGAAATGAAGAACTAGACAAGCAAGTTTAAATGGGGGGAATAATGGAAAGAACTAGAAAAAGAAAAATTCCCAACGTTGTGAACAAGAAAGACCACATAGCCTCGGGCAATGGAGTTAACTGTCCATCATCCCTCAATTTTAATCCATGGAATGAAGAAACTAGTATAAGTAATCTCTAACATTTCTTTCAACATGAGAATTTTACAATGATTACAATCATGAAGCTTTTTAATGACCACATTCTGATGTGTTCTCTCTATCCTGAATTGTCTCAGTAACTCAGCATAAAGCCACAGTTGTTAAATAAGTGTAGTGTTGGGGCTGGAGAGATGGTCCGAGATTAAGCGGCTAGGAGCTCTTGATGCACTTTCAGAGGACTCAAGTTGGGTTCCCAGCACCCGCATGGGAGGGCTCATAGCCACCTGCAACCCCAGCTCCCAGTGACCCACGGCCTCCAGCCTCCACGGTCACTCGGCTGGTATATTTATGGGGCCATGACTCCTTCATTCTTCTCTGGATCCCAATCCTTAAGCTTTAATAAACTGACTTACATAATTAAAAATAAAATTTTAAAGGAAAATGTGGTATTTTAAAAAAATTATTAATAGTACAGCATTCAGAAAATGAGCAAATGCTTCAAAGAAAAAGTTTTGTTGTGAAACAGGCAAAATGTAGTAAGTAGAAAAATGAGATTTCCAATGAGACCAGGAAATGAACATGCAATATCTCTTCCCGTTACTGCAACACAACTCCAACTACAAACACTCTGCCACTCCCTGCCAACCCCAACTCATACAGTCATGTCAACTCAACGGTTAGGTGAAAAGGGAGCACTAAAATTATACTAAGAGGATATCACTAATAAAGCACCCAACGTGGCATTACCTCCATGTATTCTTTGAGGTCGGTCAGATTCATAACCATGCCTGTGACAGGATCAATCTAAGGAAGAAATGAGGGTGAATACCACGGTAGGAGGCTCTCCATATGGACACTTTCACAAAGCTGGGGAGTGGCTGACGCCTGCAAAATCCCAGCACTTGGGAAACAGAATCAGGAGGCTTTGGAGTTCAAAGCCTTTCTTGGCTACACAGGAAGTTCAAGTGCAGCGTAGGCCACATGAGACCCTGACTAAATGTAAAACAAACTTCACAGGTTATTAAAGGCTGTACAACATGCAGACTATGCCCACATTCCCTCATCCTGGAGACACTTAATGTTCTCAATACAGAAGTACCATGTCCTACCAGCACCCTTTCCACTGGACGGCTCTTCTCGCCATGCACACGTAACAGCTCAGCACACAGCCATGAAGCAATTGAAACACAAGCTTTCAACACAGATTTCACCACAGTGTCTGGAAGGTGGCCCTGCATTCTGAACAAACACACACAGTTTCCAGCACGTACCTCTCCATGTACTGTCACCACAACTGTGAGAAAGAAAACAAAAATACCAACAAGACATATGACTTTCAACACATTAGCACATAGGCACAAGTCAGCAACATCAACATGGATCTATGGTCCCCAAGGCTATACTTCAAATTTTCTCCAAATATGTCTTCTTTTCATTAAAATCTTTTTATCAATCAATGAAGACTCAGCCCAGACAGAGGAGCTTGGAGGAAGCTTTGGCTGAGCAGAGAAAATTAGCAAATCCAAAAACGTGTGAAAATTTCCAGCTTATAAGGTTGATCTCCCTGGGAGGAGATACTCAGTCTCCTGTAAAAGTGGAAAATGCATAATGCATGTCCAGCTATGAACCAAACTGACCCAATTCCTTAGCAGGCAAAAATACTCATCTTTCTACTGACAAGAATGTGTGTGCTCGCCGGCGGTGGTGGCGCACGCCTTTAATCCCAGCACTTGGGAGGCAGAGGCAGGTGGATTTCTGAGTTCGAGGCCAGCCTAGTCTACAGAGTGAGTTCCAGGACAGCCAGGGCTACACAGAGAAACCCTGTCTCAAAAAAACAAAACAAAACAAAACAAAAGAATGTGTGCGCTCAGCTCATAAAACAGCAGGTGTTCACTTGAAAATTACTCGGCACCTTTCTAAGTTTGTATTTTTCCCCTTGCACACAAACACCACTGGGTATTTCATGGTGAGTAAGTACACTGAAGCTGAGAGGTGAGAGAAAACAGAGTCAGGAGCTAAACCACAGACTCTGATCTCTCCACGCCTTCTGTAACCCCGCCTCACCACACGCTACTGCACTCCAGGGCTTGAGGCCTGTTCTGAGACATTAGCTCAAAGAATCACGTCCCTTTTCTTCCACAAATCACTTTCTTGGGCTACTACCAGGAAAGTTTCATATACAAACTCCTTTTCTGCCATACAATGCATCCCTAAGCAATACACCCACTCATTAGCCATTACTTACTTGAAATAATATATTTTTATTTTACTATGAAGTTTTAATAATTTTACTAACTTAACTAATATGCAAAAATATAAAAAGTGTACATACAAAGGGACACTATTTGATGTTTCAATTCATATATACTGTTCATACCCTGTTTAAATCAGGTTAAACATATCTGTATCCTCAAACATTAACTATAATCAAATTTTAACATTAGTTTCAGCCCAACATAATTAAAAGGAAACAGCTAACAGCAGTTTTATTGTGCATTCGAATGTCAAAGAAAATGCTTTAAATCATTTTGTTGTTGTTGTCTTCTACAGTCTTTAACACAATGGACAATTGTGAGGTAAACCGGAACACTTATCCAAGACAAACAGCTCTTTGTCTTGAATTTCCACTGAAGGGCTCAGAGCCCTGACACTGTCCAGGAGGCTTCTCACTCACAAACCCTGTATTTACCCCTTCATTCTTCCTGACAGGTTGGGAGACAATGTGTCCCTCCCTCACCTTTATAGTTGTGACCATGGCCATTCGGATTGTTGCATTTCCCAAACACCTTCAAGTTCTCTTCATTGGTCAGAGATGGGCTGACAGAAGAAAGATAGAAGTCAGCCTGACAAAGTTAAGACGTCCAAATTCCTCCATTGGTTTTGCTTTGGCTTGTGAAAACTCGACAATTTAATTTCACTTTAGATGATCAACTAGAGAGATAGCTTGGATTTCACTATCCACATTTCCATCAAGAACCACCACTCTCCAGAGTACCACATAAATCATCAAAAACCTTAATTTCAACCCACTTATTACACAGCAAGATTTCTAGAAACCTGCTCATAGTCAGCACTTGCTCTCCTGCCCTCTCTCTGTCAAGGTCTCCTATATCCCTGGCTGGTCTCAAACTCACTAAGTAGCTTAGCACGACTTTCAACTTCTGACCCTCTTGCCTCCAAGTCACAAGTCCTGAGATCTATGTAAGCAAGCACTATGTAATCAAGCACTCTACCTACTGAGCTACATCCTGGCTCCACTTTCCAATTCAACAAACACTGAGTCTTAGCTATGGGACAAGACGAAGACAAGAGACAAAGCAAGGAACAGCGATAAGCACAAAGACATACAGGTCCTCCAGCATCTTGAAAACATCATTCCTCTTGAAAAATACAGACCTCAGGCTCTTCTTTTTACAACCTTGCCCTTCTCTGCCTCAGCAATTGCCTACTGAACAATATGTTCAGGGACACTCAAATCAGGTGAGACTTTAAAATTACTACCAATGGCTTTCATTCCAGACAGAAAACAACTAGCTCAATGAATTTGTGTCAGTCAACCTATCTTGTGCATCCTTACCTTGTGTGTAAGCTTCCTATTATAAAAATCCCTTTAAAGAGGCTAGAAGGATGGCTCAGCAGTTAAGAGTGCTTACTGCTAGGCAGAAGACCAGGGTTCAGTTCCGAGCCCACCCACGTGACAGCTCAGACCCGCCTGTAATTCCAGTTCTGAGGAACATGGCGGCCTCTTTTGGCTTCCACTGACGCTTTCATGCAAGCTGTGCACATAGCACATGCAAGCTGTGCACATAGCACACAAACACAACTTTGTAAGTTTAAATGCTTTAAGACCTTTCTTATCCCCCTTACTTTCTCCTACTGCGCACACTTAGAGCACAGAATTCACGAGACTTTTGCAGAAAATTCTCGCTGTACCAAACTTGGTCACATCTTAAACTCCACACAGGGGGTCGGTGACAAGTGTTTGCTGTTCTCTATAACAACCCTGTCTCCTGGCATGGAGCAAAACTGTGTCAAGTAAGGAGTGGATGGACGCTGTCAGAAATGACTGTTCTCAGACGATGAAATGCAGGTCCAGAGAGCAGACCTTCTACTGAGTAAAGATGCTACCTTTGAAACCAACTCTCAGGTGTGGTCTTAGTGTCTCTGGGATTCAATTCCGGACTGTGTTGTTCCTTTGGAAAGCATCAAGGCTAGCTTTATTGTTTTTGGTAAAAAAGGGATGAAAGCTACCTTGTGTTGCAACCGGTAGCCCATGTTCCTGTCATTGTGGGCAACCTCTGGAGGGACTCTCCTGAGTGGGCTCTCCAGGATCAGAGCTATGGCGCCCTCTCCCGGGTGAGTCCCCGTAGTGCAACTCCTCGCCTTCACCGTTTCCTCTTCCGCCCGCCCCAGCTCGGCTCTAACCCACCCGCGTGGCCACGCCCCTAGGGACATAGCGGGACAAGCGCCACACGTGCGGTGACACACGTGGGCACACCCCACCTGTGCAGCCGGTGGCTCGCGCTGAAGGACACGAGGCGCGACAGTCGCGCGCGGCGACGAAGGCCACCTGCCGCGCTCATGGGCGTCAGACCAAAGACCCACAAGCTAGCGGTTCCGGCTTCCGGGACCGAGGCCAGCCCCTGCCCCCGCGGCTGCGCAGTGCCAACGCGGCCCTCCCCGCCGGAAGCACTCCTGGGAGTGGTTTCAGCGCGTGGCCCCCTTCGGCCACCTGGAGGCAACACTAGCGCCCCCTGCTGTTCAGTCCTTGCTAGGCAGTCAGACATGCGTTGGGCCTTTGGGTGGGTGAAGAGCCAGAGGCCTGGATTTTTAAATTGCCCAGGATAGTTTGGGTCTCCCTCTTTCACTCCATTTTTGACAGTCCTGGGTTAGAGTAGACAAATGCAATGTCTGGGTGCCCTTATCAGATGCGCTCCAGCCGAGTACACTGAAAATGTCCTTAACCAAAAGGAAACCCTAGCCAAGAATAGCAATGCCCTGTCATTAGAGTTACTCTGTAGCCTAAGGCTGGGGCATTGATTTTAGGAGTTTCAATCTATTCTAGGCAACATAGTAAAACACTAGCTTAAGTAGAAAATAAAGGAAAAATTTGACACCTCAATATCCAAGTGAGAGAATGTCATGCAAAGAAACTTCCTCAAAGCTGACTCATTGTTCGGAAGAAGGAACAAGCTGTTTCTGGTTTTAGATTCCTGGCTTTCAGGGTTTTGAAATGGAAAGGAATTCCAATGTAATGGAATGTGGGTCTACTGGTTCTGTTTGGATCCTTGGTCACAGAAGGTTAGCTTCTATTAAATGCTGTCAGAGAGTCAGAATAGCATATATCTGTAATCCCAGCACTGAGGCTGGGGCAGGAGGATGGCAAGTTCAGGGCCTATCTCAAAAGAATAAAATCCTATGAGTAATTCAAATGGACACCTTTGACAGGGCAGCCACCACAACCACCACCCATCCATTAATTACATTTAAAAACTAAATTAAAAAAAATGATTACCTAAGTAGATTTGGCTGTCCTGGAACTTGGTCTGTAGACCAGGCTAGCTTGGAACTCAACCTGCCTCTGTCCCTCTGACTCCCAAGCGCTGGGATTAAGGGCCTGCATCACCACCACACAGTTAAGACCTTAATCCCAGATGCTTTAAGTATTAGACACACGTGCCTCAGAACAACAAAATGGACCCTGTTATCTGAAAATTCAGTTTAATGGGGCAATCCAACAACTAATATGCCAAGTGAAAAATTACCAATTCTGTGTCAGAGAGTAAAAGAAAGCTTCTAAGAACAAATTAGTCTGAGATGGATTTTAAAGAGTCCAACAGATGGATAAATAGAAAACCCCGGGAGGAAAGAGTTTAAGCAAAGGAAATGTGGAAATGTAGCTTGCTTAATGCGTAGTGATAGATTCTTGGCTACCAAGGGGGCATGCAAAACAGAGGAGGGTGTACTGGAAATACTGACTGGAGACCAACTAGTGGAAGAATTGTGTCTTTCTACATATAAAGGAAAAGAGGCCCCACCTTTCCCCTTCAATCTAGTTTTTCTCCAAGAGAAAGGAATTTCCAACTGTTAAAATAACATTTTCAGGCATAACTGAGTTCCACTTGCCCAAATAGCAGTGGCCTACTCTCTGGAGCTATGCACACAGGAAAGAAATGGAGGAGGAGGAAGAGGAGGAAGAGGAGGAGGAAGAAGAGGAGGAACAGGAGGAGGAAGAAGAGGAGGAGGAGGAAGAAGAGAGGAGGAGAAAGAAGAGAAAGGAGAGAAGGAAGAAGAGAAAGAAGAGGAGAAGGAAGAAGGGGAGGAGGAGGAAGAGGAGGAGAAGGAAGAAGAGAGGAGGAGAAAGAAGAGAAGGGAGAGAAGGAGGAAGAGAAAGAAGAGGAGAAGGAAGAAGAGGAGGAAGAATAGGAGGAGAAAGAGGAGGAGGAGGAGGAGGAAGAGGAAGAAGCCAGTCCTGGCCATTTTATATTCTGTTCTGTATCTTGCTTTCTTGTTGCAAGCTGAGCCAGGAGCAGCCCCTCTCAGTCTTCTTTTTTCCTCTCGCTTGTACACTGAACATCATGGTTGTGTTGAGATGAAGTAAAGGTTCATGTGCCGGAGAGAGATGCATTCAGATATGTGTGCTTCCCAGAAGTCAGAGACCCCGTCGACCTACATGTCTAGACAGGCTATGTTAAACCTCCAAGTTTTGTCTGAGGAAATGTATGGAATGCTTTTCCCCCCATAGACTTCTGTGAACATCCAGAGAATCCTCTCAAGGTTATTGGCTTCCATGCTCCCACATCTGCAATCTTAGCTCTGTCTGTGCATCCCACTCTGCCTCTCACAAAACCGCACAGGGGACTTAGCCCTGTAACTGTCACGGTGCAAACCTCCACACAAGGGATTTCTGTGTAAGGTACACTTCACTGAAGAGGAAAGGGTTAATGGGGTTTAGAATAATCCCTACCAAAAATTTATAGAGGAAACTGAGATTACAGGACCTTGTGGTCCAGGACTGTGTGGTAAATTAACCCATGTCCCAAATTACATCTTAGAGGACTTCTTCCAGAAACATGGATAGCAGGACCTTGGGAAGTTTAGCTGGTCCAAGATTAAAGCTCAGTCAAGGAGTGACGGAAAGGAAAAGGAACAAGGCATTTGAGAGGTAGGGCAGATTGCTATTTACCTGAATGCTGTTAGTAAAAACTACTTAGAAATGTGAAGATTATGTGGTCTCTTCTGCCACCTGCTGCACAAGTAAAGAAAGAACCTCTTGACTTTCAGTGATCTCTGGAAAATTATTTACCTAGAGATTTGAATAAACACCTGCTTTTACCAATGTCCCTCAAGATAACCACTTCTAAAGACTGAGCTGGGGGAGACATGGGGGTGGTAGTGGGCAGTCTGTAAGAGGAACACTGAAGTGAACTTGTATAGCATGTGTCACAGATAGCAGAGGAACACCCAGTTCAGAAGCCACCAAACAAGAGAGCTCTGGCTTCTTGTCCCAAATTCCTTAGGGCCAATGGTAACAGATGGACTGTGTGTGACCTGTTACAGGAGAAAGCAAGGCACTAGTCAAGGTTCTAAGCTAGCGGTTCTCAACATATGGACCATGACCCCTTTGGGGGTCAAACAACCCTTTCACAGGGGTTGTCTAAGACCATCAGAAAACACAGATATTTACATTACAATTCAGAACAGTAGCAAAATTACAGTTATGAAGTACAGTGAAAATAATTGTGTGGCTGTGGGTCACCCCAACATGAGAAACTGTGTTAAGGTCTCCCGGCACTAGGAAGGCTGAGAAGCACTGTTCTAAGTCACTACTGTCCTTGACCATTTGTATGTCTCTTCCCAGGGCCTCCCATCACCTATGTGATAGAGGTAATGGCCTAATTGTAGCCTTTTTGTGTGTATTCCTTTTCAAAACTTGTGTGTAGCAGGGGGTAGCATGAGTGCCACAGCACATGGGTGGGGAGTCACTTATCTCCCTCCCTCTTTACATGGGTTCCAGGGACCAAATTCACGATATCAGTCTTGCACTGCAAGCACCTGTTACCTGCTGAGCCATCTTGCTGACCCTTTTTCTTGTACGCTTTTAGCTAGAGATGAGAATACTCAATAAATGTTAAGACTATCCTCAAAATATTCCCCAGAGATCGAAAGGTGACTCAAAGGGTGAATATGCTCACCGCACAACCCTGACGACAGATGCTACAATCCTAGCACTCCCATGTGGAGATAGGAGCTACAGAATGGAGAACTGCCCAGAAGTTTCCAGGAGGAAGGAAAGAACCTACTGTACAAAGGTGTCTCCTGGCCTCCTCAAGCACCCATGTCTGCACATATACACACACTGTCCATAGACACAGTGCAGAAATAACAAATGATTTTTTTAAAAATTAAATTTTTACTTCTATTTATTTATTCATTTATTTATTTATTTTGGAGACTGGACCTCCCTATGTAAAACAGGTTGGCCTGGCCTTAAATTCATAGAGATCTGCCTACCTCTGCCTCAGGAGTGCTGAATTAAAGGTGTGTACCACCATACCTGGCTATGCAAAAACTTCAAGTACTATACAAACACATGCTTGATGGTTTCAAGAAAGAGGCCTAAGACAATATAAACCCAGGGCTGAAGGGATCACCAAGCAGTTGAGAGTAGGCATACTGCTCTTGCAGAGGACACGAGTTTGATTTCCAACACTTGTGTCTGTCTCCAGGGGTCTCTCTCTCTCACACACACACACACAAACATGCTCGCGCACACACACACACCAACACAGTCACACACAAAATAAATAAATATTTTAAAATATATATAAAGGGGCTGGAGAGAAGTGGAGAGAAGGCTCAGGCTTGTTTCTCTTACAGAGGTCCTGGGTTCACTTACACAGTGACTCACAACCATCTGTAACTCCAGGGCATCTGACTCCATTCTGACCTCCTCAGGCACCAGACATACATGTGATACACATACATATATGCAGGTAAAACATTCACATACATAACACAATTATCTCATCAGTTATGTTTTAATCGAAATGTAAAATCATACACTGGGTTTTTTTTAATTAGTTATTTTACCACTGCTGCAAAACAAAACTCAAATGGACAGAACAACTTAAGGAGGAAAGATTCCTTTGGCCCACAGGCTGAGGGGATTCAGCCCACCATAGTGGAGACATGGTGGAGTACCTTGTCAGTGGTAAGGCTGGAAGCATAGGTGAAGGCTGTTCACGTAGCAGTGGACCAGAAAGCAGAGAGAGAGAGAGCATGAGAGAACCAGAGCCCCCAAAGGCTGGTTCCTGGTGCCTGTGAGGTGTCACCCCTAAAAGTTTCCACAGCCTCCCAAAATGGTGCCACAAGCTGGGTACAAACATTTAAAATATGAGCCCTTGGGGGTCAGGGTCTCTGAGCTCACAGGAGTCAGGTCTCTGAGCCCTTGGGGGTCAGGTCTATGAGGCCACAGGAGTCAGGTCTATGAGTCCTTAGGGGTCAGGGTCAGATCCAAACTACAATCGTTGTTGAGTGAGATTCACTATTTTCTCTTTTCCGTAGAGTGTGCTCATCTAAGCCTTCTCTCAGTCCCTCCTTGGTCTTGTGCCATCAGATGGGCACAAACGTGCCGTGGAACCCATAAGGCATCTGCACAGGTACCTCTGCTCGCCCCAGTTCGGTGAAGTTCTTGGCATCCAAGACAAGGAGAAAGTTGTTTTCACTCTAGAAAAAGAATGCAACACTGAAATTTCCCTCTTCATCGAAATCTCCATCTCCACTGGCTGAAGGAGAAAGCATGTCTTCTTACTTATGTTCATATCTGTTCCTGGCATCTACCACAAAGCCTCACCTAGCCTCCCACTAAACGTTTGCCCAGTTGTTGAACTGGACCAAAACACCATGACTAAAGAAGTTCACACCCTAAAGCAAAGAAATAAAGCGGTGCCAATCCTCCTCATAAGACGGCTTTGAGTCTAATAATATTTTTACTCTGCTCTTTCAAGTATAAAAATACATGGAAGTTCTTTTTCCCAAATTAGAAACTCTTCCATTTTGTGTTACTTGAGAGCTGGACAAAGATCAGCTTTGTAAGTCAGACTGAGATTTGTGCAGACCTAATTACTAGAGTACTAAGTGCATGAAATAAGCCCCTAGCAGACTTTACTAATTGATCACAGCACCTTTTTTTTCTCTCTAAACCATTAAAAAGGTCAGAACCCCACACCCAGGTGCCACTAATAATTGATCAAAGCTTGTCTTGAGGTGAGCACATTTGCTGTAAGATTGCCCAGACAAGTCAGTAAGTAGCATTATTGAGATACTAGCCAGGGCTTAGGATATTGGCCTTTTTTAGGTCAGTTCACTGAAATTAGAAACACAGATAGTGCTATGAACATCAAGCCAGAAGCCAGATGATTTAAACACTGGCTTCACCACTGTGAGATCAGATGCAAATTCTTAAAGTGACAAATTCCACATATATCCCATGGTTTTTAAAAACTATCATAATATATATGAAAGAACACTGTGTATAACTAAGTCCTATGAAGACATCATGTTGCTATGATTTTACAAATAGGACTTTAAAATGTGATAAAGTATGGCTATGATTTTTAAAGTGGGGGATGTTACCCAGTAAAAAGGAGCAGAGGAAGGAGAAGATGCCAGAAGGCATCAGAATAAATGACAGGCTGCATCCCTGCACACCGCACTCCAATAAGTTAGTGTTGCACTTCTGTGACCAATGACGGGTAAACAAACCTGGTTGGGAGTGATCACCACAGAGAGGATAACCCCACCATCTTCCTCATCAGCTCCTGGCACCGGAACAAAAACGGGCTCTGAGGGATAAAAGCCCTCTTCTCTCCAAACCTGCGAGTTCCCCCAACACACAAAGACATCTAATGAAAGGTGAGAGGTAACTGGGAAAGATTCGATAGTGTTTGTCACTAACAGCATAAAGTGGGCCGTAACAGAATGTTCCCACAGCAAACACAAACCCAGGCTTACTGCGTTGAATGCAGGCAGGAGAAACCTCTGCTGCCTGTAGTTCACGTCTAAGCTCATCCCTCCACCAACCTGATATATAGGGGTCACGCAACCTTCACCCCATCATTTCCCCAAAATGATATCAGTTCTACCATTATTTCTCCAAGCTTTGGCTTTCCTTTAGATTTCCCACAGGAAATCAACCCCTTGCTTAGATGATCTGTGCTTCTCAAACTTATGAAAATAGCTAAGCTGTTGTAATATTAAAGAATTCAAAGAACCAGGCTGCAGCAGCGGCTCAGTAGTAAGAACACTGGATGCTCTTCCACAGGACCTGTGTTTGATTCCCAGCACCCATATAGCAGCCCATGACTTCCTGTAACCCCAGCTCCATCGAGTCCAATGCCTTCTTCTGACCCCTGCAGGCTCCTGCACACATATGGTGCATGTAATACACACACACACACACACACACACACACACAAATAAACAAATAGATATTAAATTTTTTGAAAAAAATACATCTGAAGAACTACTTTTAAACTAAACAGAAATTAATTCAAAGGGCAAAAGAGGGTGTAGCCAAATAAGAGAAGAGATTTCCTTACCTTTAATGTCTTTTTCACCACGTCAACCTTAATCAGAGAATCCCCCACCAAATGTCGAAAACCGCAGCCATAGAAGAAACTATACTTTTTGCCATTGAATCGGCCATAGTTGATCTGAGGAAATTCAATCCCCCCTTCCTCTTCCAGGTCTTCGTGGTGTAGATTTTCAGGAGAGCACCAGATCTAAGGGAGACACCCCCCATCCCCCCCGCAAAGGATAAAGAGTGGCTGTTTGATTCTCTTTATTTTCTCTCTTAATTCTCTTTCATTTCTTTAGTGTACACGTGCACTACTCTGTAAGTTGTGACCGGATTTGAGAACTAAAGTTCTACGTCATCGTTCCTATTGTTCCCCTTTCCGTGGTGAGTGTCCATGTAATGATGTTGTCTGGTGCTGTGTCTAAGATCCCCAATGGTAGAGGGCTTCCTCATTCTGCTAAAGCAAGGCACAGGTGCACAGTGACATTCCCAAGCGGAGAGCAGTGTCCCCAGACGGTGGGGATGGTCGGTCAACTTGAAAAACTCACACATTCCACCATCACTGGCAAGCTGCATAGATCTGGCTCAAGACACAGAAAGCACAATCAACCACAGTGTCCAGCCCACCCAGTTTCTGTGGCTCTTGTGCAAACAAGTTTGTAGGACCTCACCCAAGCTCAGCCAAATGTTATGAAACCTGCAGGGCACCAAACATTTGGAGGGCGGCCAAAGAATAAAGTGACGTCACTAAAATCCACCCTCAGTCTAATGTCCGCCGGAAGCTTACCCCTCCATCACCCTGTTTCACGGCACTGGCTGAAGAATAGGACAGTGGGCTGAGGTTCTCTCCCTCAGGGGCATCCGCACTGACATCTAAGGGCAAGACAAATCTTCGAGGGAAAGACTTTGCCTTCGACTTATAGACCTGTTCAGAACAGAGAAATAAACAGATGGAGAGAGGCCATCCCTAGGATAATAAATAGTAACTTAATTAAATTCAGTCATTACCAGGATTGTGCGAACAATAATTCCAAATCATCCATTCAATAAATATCTATTGAAAACCTACTGTAGGCTAAGTATTGTTTAGAAACTATACATGAAAATTAGATTCTAGCAGTGGGATCATAACTACAAAATTAAGTATTTATTAATTAGCATCAAATAAGCAAATGATTAAATAGCCAAAGGTCCCAAGGACTAGACAGTAGCAGAAAAGGTTCCTGTTTTCATGTTTGCTAGTTCAGAAAAGAGCCAGCTTAGCAGACTGAGATTGCTCAAACCCCACACATTCTCGAGCAAGGCCAGTTTTCAAGACTAACCCTTAGCTGGCTCTTAGAGACAGGCTTCTTAGGCTGTCTTATCTGATAAGAATGGGGAGACTTTGAATGACACAATGTGTCAATAACGATATGAGTTTAAAAGAACACCTGCGAGCTAAGGGTGTAAATGGTATGGTGCTTGCCTAGCAAGTACAAGGTCCAGGGCTTCAGTGAAAAAGGAAAAAAAAATTAATATCCAGCGGTCTGGAACTTCAGGGCCTGCAGTTGGCTGTGTTGGCCTGAAGGATTATATGTCTGATCCCAGTAAGACCCTCAACAGCCAGGTCTTGAATTTGCCAGGAATATAACAGGTCATGCATGGTGTCATGACTAGTTCCTCACATGTGTGGAGGATTGGCTTTTTAAAAATTAGCTTTTCTCAACTCTGTTTTCTTTTGTAAGACCTTAGCTAAACAGCAACAACAACCCAATGTTTATAAAAGGTTGGGTCAGGTGATATGAATCAACTGTTCTTCTGAGAAGAACTAAAATAAAATAAATAAATAAATAAGAATAAATCCAAATACAATGCCTACAATAGGCGTCTGCCTGCAGTCGAAGAAGAGCTAGAGAGATCATGAAAGACAATGAGGTGGAGGTTTAGGAAGAAAGAAAAGCCGAAGATAACCAGGTGTGACAGGCAACTCTTCCCCTGAGGGCCCAAGGAGAAGCTCCAAACCATTAGTCATTTGAGAAACATAAATCAAAACCACAACCCCCACTCCACACCCATTGGGGTGGCTATATTTTTAATAATAAAGAAGGAAACAGTCTTGGGGCCAGCACAGCGGTTCGGTGGGTAGGGGCACTTGCCATGCAAGAATGCGGGCCTGAGCTTCTGCTGGGACATGAGAGGCAGAAACAGGCAAACTCCCAGGAATTGTGATCTTCCTGCCTCAGCCCCTAAAGTAGCTGAAATTACAGGCCTGCACCACCAGGACCAGCTTAAACTTGTTTTTTCTTTTAAGACAGGGTCACACTATGTATCTTCAGCTGGCCTGGAACTCACTATGCAAACAGACTGGCCATGAACCTAGAGAGACCCTACTGCCTCCACCTGCCAAGTGCTGGGATTAAAGGCAACTGCCATCATACCTAGTTTAAACACCTTTTAAAAGAAGGAATCATTGTACTTCATTACACTCATAAAACAGGGGCTAAAGGCCATGTGATACCCTCAATAGTATGAAAAAAATAAGAAGTGTTATTTCCATGACCAATATTCTTAGTAATATAGAAATAAAAAGAGAACTTTCCTAATCTAACAAAATATACATTTAAAAACAATCTAGGGCTGAATGTATTGGCACACGGCCATAGTAATCCCAAAACTTGGAAGACAGAGACAATACGACCAGGGTTGAAGGCCAGTCTTGGCTATACAATGAGCCTAAGGCTAACCTGTACTTCATAAGACCTGTCTAAAGGAGACATCTATTGATAATTTATGTTTACATTCAATCTGTGCACAAACGTTTGTAATAACTTTTGTTATAGTAAACTAGTATAACCACAAATACTAATAACGATGATGATGATGATGATGATGATGATGATGATGATGATGATAAAAACTATCAAGATCCAAAAAGACATGGAGAAACCATAAATGCATACTACTAGGAAGGAAGGAAGGAAGGAAGGAAGGAAGGAAGGAAGGAAGAGAAGAAGGAAGGAAGGGAGGGAGGGAAGAAGGAAGTGGGAAGGAGGGAAGGAGGGAGGAAGGAGGGGAGGAAGAGAGGAAGGGAGGAAGTGGGAAGGAGGGAAGGAGGGAGGAAGGAGGGGAGGAAGAGAGGAAGGGAGGAAGTGGGAAGGAGGGAAGGAGGGAGGAAGGAGGGGAAGAAGGGAGGAAGGGA